AAAAAAAAAGAAAAAAAAAGAAAAAAGGATACTGAATGTGAATGGCAGAAATCCGCGAGGCGTCAATAATACCTTGAAGGCACAAAAAAAAAAAAAAAAAAAAAAAAAAAAAAAAAAAAAAAAGAAGGGGAAAAAAAAAGAAAAAGAACAAAAAAGAACAAAAAAGAACCAAAAAAAAAGAGAAAAAAAAAGAAAAAAGAAAAGAAAAAAGAAAAGAAAAGAAAAAAGAAAAGGAAAAAAGAGGAGAAAAAAGAGAAAAGAAAAGAAAAAAGAGGAATAAAAGACAAAAAGAAACACAGCAGTTGGAGACGGGATGCAGCGTGCGGAGCAGGTCACAGCAGCATGTAGAAACGCGGCGGCGCGAAGAAGGAGATGGAGATCGAGGGGAAAGGAGGTGGGCATGGATGGTGTGGCTGGATGGATGGATAAGAGTGTGGGGCCATGGTGTGGAGCGATGGATGGATTAATGGGATGTGCTGACGTGGATGGATGTGGATTGATGGCACGTGCGGAGGGGGATGGATGGGTTGATGGATGTTGTGGATGGATGGATGGATGGATTGGATGAATGACGCGGATGGATGACCCGGATGGATGGTGGGAGAGGTGGATGGATTATGTGACAGGTGGATGAGTGACATGGATGAGACGGAAGGAGAGATGGATAAACGGCTGGATGCATTGGTGATGGAACTAATTGGATGCATGGATGGATGGGGTTCATTGATGGGGAGATGGATTGGTTGATGGTGTGGATGGATGCATTGATTCGACTGGTTGATTGATTGAGTGGATGGTGAATGGATGGAGGGTGCATCAACGGATTGGATGGATGGCTGTCATCAATATCCATGTTGGGATTGGTGGAGGAGACTGAGTGATTGGATGATTAGATGATTGGATGAATGATGGGATGAAGAATTCGATGAGTGATTAGGTCATTGGACTAATGATTGTTTGATGGGATGAGTGATTAGATGATTGGATGAATGATTGTTTGATTGGATAATTGGTTGGATGATTTGATTGGGTGAGTGAGTGGATGAATAATTGGATGATTGAGTGGATGAGCGGTTAGTGATCGGATGGATGATTGTTTGAGTGGATAATCGGTTGGATGATTGATTGGACGAGTGATTGGATGAATAATTGGATGAGGGATTGGTTGAATAATTGGATGAATAATTGGATGA